TCTGCGGCTGCCTCTGGGCGGGGCCGGCTCTGCGGCTTCCTCTGGGCGGGGCCGGCTCCGGCTGCCTCTGGGCGGGGCTCTGCGGCTGCGCGGCCTGTGGCCCGGCTTGGAGGGGTGAAGTGGCTGCTCGCTGCCCGCGGGGGAGAGGAGGAGGGCTGGACCGGAGCCTCCTGCGGGACGCGCGCCAACGCGGCTGACACGGACTGGCACCGCTGACACGGACTGACACGGACTGACACGACTGACACGACTGACACGGGCTGACACGGACTGACACGGGCTGACACGGACTGACACGTACTAACACGACTGACACGGACTGACACGGACTGACACGGACTGACACGACTGACACGGGCTGACACAGCTGACATGGGCTGACACGACTGACACAGACTGACACAGCTGACACGGACTAACACGACTGACACGGACTGACACGGCTGACTGCTGACACGGACTGACACGACTGACACGACTGACACGGACTGACACGGACTGACACGGACTGACACGACTGACACGGACTGACACGGACTGACACGGCTGACACGGACTGACACGACTGACACGGGCTGACACGACTGACACCGCTGACACTGCTGACACGGCTGACACGGATTGACACGAACTGACACGGCTGACACCGCTGACACGGCTGACACAGACTGACACGGACTGACACGGCTGACATGGACTGACACGAACTGACACCGCTGACACGGCTGACACAGACTGACACGGACTGACACGGCTGACATGGACTGACACGACTGACACCGCTGACACGGCTGACATGGGCTGACACGGACTGACACGGCTGACACGGACTGACACGGACTGACACGACTGACATGGACTGACACGGCTGACACGACTGACACGGACTGACATGGACTGACACGGCTGACACGGGCTGACACGGCTGACACGGACTGACATGACTGACACGGACTGACAGGGCTGACATGACTGACACGGACTGACACGGCTGACATGGACTGACACAACTGACACGGACTGACACCACTGACACAGACTGACACGGACTGACACGACTGACACGGACTGACACGGACTGACACCACTGACACGGACTGACACCACTGACACGGACTGACACCACTGACACGGACTGACATGGACTGACACGGCTGACACGGATTGACACAAACTGACATGGACTGACATGGCTGACACGGACTGACACAGATTGACACGACTGACACGGACTGACACGGGCTGACACGGATTGACACGACTGACACGGCTGACATGGACTGCCACGGCTGACGCGGACTGACACGGCTGACACGGATTGGCACAGCTGACACGGGCTGGCACGACTGACACGGCTGACAGAGACTGACATGGATTGACACGACTGACACGGACTGACACGAACTGACATGGACTGACACGACTGACACCGCTGACACGACTGACACGTACTGACACGGCTGACATGACTGACACGGCTGACACGAACTGACACGACTGACACAAACTGACACGGACTGACATGGCTGACACGGGCTGACATGACTGACACGGACTGACACGGCTGACACAGACTGACACCACTGACACGGGCTGACACGGACTGACACGACTGACACGGCTGACATGGTTGACACGGCTGACACAGACTGACACGGACTGACACAACTGACACGGGCTGACACAGACTGACACGGCTGACACAACTGACACGGCTGACATGGACTGACATGGGCTGACACGACTGACATGGCCTACACGGACTGACACAGGCTGACACGGACTGATACGGCTGACACGACTGACACGGCTGACACGGACTGACACGACTGACACAGCTGACATGGCTGACACGGACTGACATGGACTGACATGGCTGACACGGACTGACATGGACTGACACGGCTGACACGGACTGACATGGCTGACACGGACTGACATGGACTGACACGGCTGACACGGACTGACATGGCCTACACGGACTGACACAGGCTGACACGGGCTGACATGGCCACCTGGGGCATCGCCCAGGTCACACCGGGTCACACCGGCCCACCCTCGGCCTCCCCTCGGAGCCGCCGGTGGGAGAGGGCGGGCCGCGTCCCCCGAGCTTTCACGGGCCACGGATGTCTGAAGACCGACCGGGGAAGCGGGCGACTCTGGAGGCCCGGCGTCTTCACGCGTGGACGGTCCGTCTGACCCCGGGAAGCCAGGGGCCTTCTGCAGGAAGGAAATCCACACACACGTGCTAAGCGGGTGCTGTGGTGGATTGTGCTAAGCGGGTGCTGTGGTGGACTAGGCTAAGCCGGTGCTGTTATAGATTATAGTTTACTTGTCTACTTGTTATATACAAAAATCCACTCATGGAGCTTGGCGGTGAGGACATTGTTGACAGATTAGAGGCCATTCCTGTTTCCCTGTAGTCTATCACCATCTTCATTTCCACTCTTCTGCGTATTAAAAATAAAAGAGATAGACGCCGGTGGCTCACGCCTGTCATCCTAGCTACTTAGGAGGCTGAGATCTGAGGATCTCAGTTCAAAGTCAGCCTGAGCAGGAAAGGCCGTGAAACTCTTATCTCCAATAAACCACCAGAAAAGCGGAAGTGGCGCTGTGGCTCAAGTGGCAGAGCGCTCACCTTGAGCTGAAGAGCTGAGGGACAGCGCCCAGGCCCAGAGTTCAGGCCCCACGACCGACAATAAATAAGTAACTAAATATGTCAAAGGGATATCTTGAGTGATGGCTGTTATTCAGTAACTGCTCCACACAAGGCACCAAAGTAAGTATAATGATCTCATACTTCACCTGATTCTCTTAGTCTTGTGTTGCTGTTTCTCACACAGAGATAGAAAGGATAATTAGCTTGCCTAAAGTGCTTCACTGAGACACTAGCTTGTCTCTTAAGCACTATATAATACCAGCTGAGAAAATAGCCCGAACTGGAAGGCCTCATATTCTGTTGATTGTGAGACTGAATAAGGCCACCATCCATATTAGAAGTGACGTCTGCTGAGGAATGAGAGCCCCCGTCCCTTACCTGCAATCACAAACTGCAATCAGACCCAACTAAAAATGTTTAGAATGAGGAGGACCAGCAAGTGGAAGAGGGCAGAGTCCTCTCTTCAGCATAGAGCTCATCAGCTCTTTAGTCCACTACCAAAAAAATTTCTTTTCAGAGCATTTCATAGAAAACTCACCAAGTAACAAAGATTTATCAAAGCAAAGCATAATAGAAAGGGTAAGAAGAGCCATCCCCAATAGACAAAAAATGGGAGCCAAGAGCTCTTGGCTGCTGTTGGTACATGAGTTTTTACCTCCAGACTAAGCCAGGAATCCAGCTTAACCTTTTCCTAAAAACAGGGTCAGAACACCTGAAAACTTTTCTTTCCATTTGTTTCATTGTTATGATAAATGTGAGGCACAGAGGAGTTACCATTACATAAGACCTGGAAACATTTACTAATTCTGCTTTATTCCCAAGAATGGAGACAAGGGTGGGTTTAGAGTGGGCTAGTTACCAAAAACATGGATACAATGAGTGTCATCTTTATGAGCGTTCCTTTCAGCCCAAGAATTAAATTCTGTGCTGAGACTAAATTGCTCATTTAGGGAGACCAAAACTCAGCATCTAAAGAGAGGACAATGGAAGGAATGTAAGCCCGTGTGGTCTATTCCTTTCTGCTCTAGTGATTTTCAGCTTTAGTTTCCAGAATCTGGGACAAAATTCTGAACTAGTTTTGTTTGCCTTGTCACCTCCCCTGTCTCTATCCAGCCTCAACTTCCTTCTAATTATCTTCTAACTGTGAATATATTCAGCCCTTTCCACTCCAGTCTGACCAACCCATGATCCACTGAAGACAAAGCTGTCCAAAAGGTAAGTCCTGTCACTACGGCACTATTTCATAGTCAGACAGAATAACTGCCAATGTGCCATAATTACAGAGCTTTGTGAATGGAAATCATTAATACGCAATGCAAAGCTCCCTTAGACTTAGCAGCTCTGAGACAGTGAATGCCAGAAACGCTTGGGGCTGGGAAGGTGGCTCAGTGGCAGAGCGCGTGCCTTGCATGCCTGAGGCCCTGGGTTCAATTCCCCAGCACCACATAAGCAAAAAGAAAAAAGCAGGAAGTGGTGCTGTGGCTCAAGTGGTAGAGCGCTAGCCTTGAGCTGAAGAGCTGAGGGACAGTGCCCAGGCCCAGAGTTCAGGCCCCATGACTGGACCCCCCCAAAAAACAAACAACAAAAAAAAACAAAAACAAAGCCAGAAGCTTATAGATTCTTGAGCCTAGATATGGGACTAGGTTTTCAAATCCAGAGACTTGCTGATTTAGGTTCTCAAAGCCAGAAGTGCTAGAAACCCACCCTCACCCATCGTCTCTCAGAAACTCGGGCGTCACGGGCCTCAGCTCTCAACCTCTCTGGTAACTCACCTCTGGAGCTCACCAAGCCCCTGGGGTTTGCAGCTTCAGTATCTTAGCCATTCACAGCCTCTTGTCTTCTACGTTGAGTCTCATGTCTCTGCAGTTTCTGACCCAGGGTGCTTTCCTGAACTCTGTTTTGTTTTGTTTTGTTGGTCAGTTGTGAGGCTTGAACTCTGGGCCTGGGGCTGTCCCTCAGCTCTTCAGCTCAAGGCTAGCACCCTACCACTTGAGCCACAGCACCACTTCTAGTTTTCTGGTGGTTTATTGGATATAAGAGTCTCACGGAGTGGGGCGCTGGTAGCTTACGCCTGTAATCCTAGCTACTCAGGAGGCTGAGATCTGAGGATCTCAGTTCAAAGCCAGCCCAGGCAGGAAAGTCCCTGAGACTCTTATCTCCAATAAACCACTATTCTGAGTAGCTAGGGTTACAGGCGTGAGCCACTGGCGCCCAGCTTTTCCTGAACTCTTCAGCCACCTTCTGGTTACTCCTGGGTGTATCTGCTGTGGTGAGCCCAGGCAACCAGCACAGCCTGCTTTACCCATGATAAGGACTATAAGTAGATCATGAAAGACATCTTGGGAGGGGTTTTATTGAGGCCTAATGTTGCAACACAAGGAAGATGTAAGCAGCCATCCCAGAAAACCCCATGGAGATAATCATGTATAGGGGAAGGAGGTTTATAAGGAGGGGCCGTCACCCACAAGAATGGGAGCAATATGGTGCCTGCCCTAGCCTGGGAGGATCCTGTACCACTGGGACTAGAGATGGAGGTACTCCACATGCCCAGCCAGGCCTGGGCAGAGAGGGAATGCCCACCTATAGCAGAGAACCCCGCAGGAACCCTGGGAGACGGGGGGTGTAGCTCAGGTTTGGGAGGCAGCAGCTGGGGTAAGAGCTAGTTGCTTGTGGACGGCGTGGAGTGCACCAGGGGGCACCATGCCTGGCTAGTTGGCTCCAATTCTCCTGGGTGAAAACAGGGCTTCTTTCCTACCACAGCAGCGCTGCTCTGAGGCACAGGGCAGGGGGCAGCACCAGACCTCTCAAGCAGGAGCAGCAGGCTGGGGTCTTCTGTAGCTGCCACACCAGCTCCTGAAGTTTCTCATATGCAGGGTATATTCAAACAACCTGACACAGCATCAGAAAAGTTGACATGGCCTGGAGTGATGGTTGGATGTGACATCATCTCTAAAGTGAAGCCAAGAAGCAAGGACAGCCTCAGCTCTATGACTTGGGTGAAACATCACCTGCAGCTTGGTTTCAATAGGAGTTCAAGGCTGAGGTGCAGTTTCTTGCAGCCATGAAGTTTAGATGACAGGACAGGGAAAGGACTGACCGGCACCCAAGACATGCCGGATGCCGCATGCTGGATGCTGGGGCCAGTGCTGTGGCAGTACTGCTCAGTCCCAGAGTCTGGGAACCACGGCCCCAGTCCACCAGCTTCGTGAACAGGGACACTGACAATCTAGGAGCTAACCAGCTTTCAGTGACAGCTTGTGCTGCCACTGAGAGGGAAAAAAAAGTTCTTACAACAGAAATCTAACATGAAATTTGAAATTAACCTTCTCCTTAGGAAAAACTTCTCTAACAATGCTTAAACCCTAGTCCTTCCTGGTCTCCCTACTATGCCCCACTATATTCGCAGAGTAAATGAAGTTTTAGCCATAGCAGGACTTAAATTGTTTTCTGAATATCTGATTTGACCATCAATTATGTTCTAAGTCATAACATTTCTTCTATCATCTTTATTCACCATTAACTTTCTGACCTTGATAGAAACAAATGTTAAAATGCTAAACAAAATAAAGCATTATCAGGACCTCTAATGGCTCCTAAGAGTGAAGAAAAAATATGCAAGCAGCTATTAAAAGATGTGAAAATGCAGAAGAGAAGACTGGGTTGCCGCAGTGACAATGTCTGCTGGGCACTGGCGGCTCACGCCTGTCATCTTAGCTACTCAGGAGGTTGAGATGTGAGGATGGCCGTTCAAAGCCAGCCTGGGCAGAAATGTCCGTGAGACTCTTATCTCCAATAAACCACTTGAAAACCGGAAGTGGCACTGTGGCTCAAGCGGTAGAGTGCTCCCATTGAGCTGAAGAGTGCAGGCCCTGAGTTCAGGTCCCACAACCGCCCCCTCCCCCCAAAACAAAGAAGAAGAAGTGACAAAGTGTGCCTGGAACAATGAGATTAAAAAGGGTTCACCGTGGTTAAATCTGTAAGTATAAATAACCAGGAAGATAGGCTAGGGAAGAGCACTTTGAAAGGAGCAGACAGTTTGAGCACAAGTTCAAGGTGAGTAATGAACAATTGTAATTATAACCATGTTTTCTGGTTGTGATACAGGGTAAATCACATATATGATTGCATATTTTCTTGATTTTGTTTTGCGCGTCCTAGGGCTTGAACTCAGGGCCTAGGCACTGTT